TACACACACAGCCTCTTCCCAATATGCGTTTTTGCAATTTACATATGTGCAAAAACGCATAAAAATGACAAATGAAAAAAATGCAAATTTCCAGTTCACTAAAAAGTGGAAGTATTGCTCGAACGGTCGTTTGTCAAAAAATTTATGTATGCAAATTAACTAGTGTTCATTTACATATACGATTGGGGTTCGGGTCCGGGTTGTGATGGATTTCCTAACGATTTTTGGGTTGAGGAGTTGCTTGAGGCTGTGCTGGGGGCGATTGACAGCTGAGTTTAAAATCTTTAGCTCGCACGTGCATAAATAATATCCCAGCAAAATTTCAGCTTTCTGCCTTGCCTGGTTTGCGAAATCGTTTCCCGCCAACATATTTTTTTGGGAGGCCCGTACGCGGGCTGTAGGCGTGTGTGGGAAACATCTTGAAATGGGAGGATGACAAACGGGGCAGGAACACATACCAAAATTTCAGCTTCCCAGCTTTTCTGGTTGCTGAGATGAAAGTGGGTGACAAAATGCACTTAGTTTTGAACACATGTACACACAGCCTCTCGACAATAGGCGTTTTTGCTGGCTGTAGCAGTGCTATAGCGCAGCAGTAGCGCTGCGCAGCAAAAACGCATAAAAAACCAAAAATCAAGAGCATTTTCAAAAATTCAGACAAATTATGAACGTAACGTGGAAGCATCGTGCAATGCATCGTTTCGCAACGAGCAGGAAGCGGTGGAAACAATGCAGGATATCAACAAATTACTTATTGAGAACATCTTACCGTCACATGTCGCTGCGAAATTTTTGAATCCAAGTCGTCCGGTCGATGTAAAGTTTTTTTTTCGAATAGAAGCTACAGTTTCCCAGAATTTGATGCTTTGATCAGAAACGTATTCAAATTTTCATTCTCCATCGATGCAGCTGGCAACTTTTTCAGCTGCTGTGACCAGTGCTGCATTACGTGGTGGTCATCGTGCTGGCGACTCATACGTCCGTCTCGTCTTCTGATGTGATTACTAGCACAACAGTTCGCTTGAAAGAAGCGCTTTGATAGTACCAAAATATCAAAGTGCGCGGCTGTTGGAAATTTGATATTCCGAATTTTAATCCCTTTTTAGTGCGTGACACTCTAACATTCTAACTCCCAGCTTTTCTCTAAATTACGCTGGTACTCCGGCGTAACTTAAAGGGAAGCCAGGCATTCGTGCAATTCTACTACATCTGGAATTGCATTTTTAGTAAAAAGAGTTTGTTTCAGGAACTGTACGCTTACTTGCATGAGAATGTATGTGTCATGTTTGCGAGTATTCCAAATTACAAGGAATTTTGGGGCCAGTGGGATCGATCGCGAAAGCTGGAATGTCTTCGGCTTCTCAATGAAATTGTTTGTGAGTTTGACAAGGTGGGTGAAATTTATTGAATGTTCTTGCGCAATTTTTGTTTTTGAAAACAATGGAGTGGAGGAACCAGATTTTCAAAAAGCCGACTGACTAATTGAAGTTAGGTAAGTTAGCTGAATTTGTGCATTTGTTAATAGTTCGCGGCACGACACATAAGCATTTATGAATTAGGTAATAAAACGCGGCTGTTGTGATACCAAAAAATCCTTTGCAGTAAAGCAGTTTAAAACATGTGTTTGTAAAAAATTTTTTTCGTTCTTTTGAGAAGCAGATATCGCGCTGGTTAAATTCTCGTCAAATCTAATTACCTAACTGATCTTTCAGCTGCTCTCAAAACCGAAATTTAGTAGTATTGAGAAGATAAAAACGGTTTCCAGTACATACATGGCTGCTGCTGGCCTGAATGAACAAGAACTTGCTGATACTTGCGTATGTCATTTCCGAATAATAGTTGTAAGGACGGTTAGGCTTACTGCGTTCACTTTGCCACGAGTTATCACGTTTTTGTATAAACTTGCTTTCTGGAAGTCATCCAGGCTATTTTTTTAGCAGGGGTCAATCACAAGTCCAAGTCAAAGCGAGAATTCACTTTTTCCCAAAGTTAACTTTTTTTTATACACCGTTTATTTTCCTTCGCTTGGCTAATGAGCCAAAAACTCTTAGTCGGATCTACAGCTGTAATGTGTCCATTTGCCTTTTCCAGAGAATTAAATTACAAGTACAGCTTTTGGAATTCAAAGGCCCTAGACCTCAAATGATTTCTGCTGCTTCGGTAGTGAACCGTGGTTTTGAGCAGTAAAAGAAGAAAGAGAAAGGCGAGCAAATATAGATCCAAAGAACAGCAGAGGGAAAGAAACAAAATTTTAAGGAAATGGAAAAGCGTTTATCAAAAAATGATAGCTTCTCAGCATCCTCAATAAACATAAACGGATGCTTTTCAGGAATACATCGACGCAAGCGAAAAGGAATGCAAACCTGATTACACTGTAAAAATTTCTTTTTTTAATAAATTTATTTTAAACAAATTCTTTTTCTGTATTACTGTTGTTTTTGTTTCAAATAGCAGTTCTATCATTATGTTTATTATTAGCTTTACTTCAACACTAATAAGCCCTGGCTTAATGGAGGAAGATGGCAATGATGATCCATCCGTCTACAAACTCTAAAAATTTGTTCACATACAACTCCATCCTAAAAATCCCCGTTACAGAACGCAGAAGACAGGATTTCAAAAGATTCTTTCATGAGTGCAAAATTCCATTTCTAATTTTTATGCGTTTTTTGCAGCTACGCAATGCAGAAAACGCATATTGACGAGGGGTTTCTGTGTGTCCGTGTGTGCGTCTGTCACGCACTTTCATCTCAAGACTTATAAAAGCTGCGGGGCTGGAATTTTGGGAACTTAATCTACATGCACGTGCCGACCTCAGTCCTCAAAATGGGAGCCAAAACCCGCGTGGTACCCGCGTACGGGCCCGCCAAAATTTTTTTCGGGCAAGTTCATAACTCGGGGACTTGAGAAGCTAGAACGCTGAAATCTTAGGGGAATGTTCCCCGTCCAACTAAGTATTAATGCACTCAAACCCATCCCCCGAGTAAGCGTGGTACCCGCGCACGGGCCCGCCAAAATTTTTTTCGGTAAGTTCATAACTCGGGGACCTGAGAAGCTAGAATGCTGAAATCTTACGGCAATCTTCCCCGTCCAAGTAGGTTTTAACGAGTTCAAACCCTGCCCGCGGGTAAGCGTGGTACCTACGTACGGGGCCTTGAAAGTTTCTTCCGGGAAAGTTGCTAACTCAGGAAAGTGAGAAAGTAAAAGACTGGGATTTTGAAGGGATGTTTCCTGACAGTTCTGGCGGCCAGTCTGAAATCCTTTTAGCTAGAAGCATCTGCCAGAAAAACCAGTGCCGTTAGCAGCAAAAATCTGCAGGGAGCTATGCAAAAAACGCATCATCGCACGGGCAGCCCGTGCGTTGGCCAATTATTTCTTCCTGTCCAGTAGCGTCTCCAACCTAACACATCATAAGTGTGTTGGAAGAGAATCTATATAGCGCGAATAGGCAGTAGGTAGCTAGCGGTTGATCACTTTACTTCGTATGTCTGCCTAAGTGAGGCAATATTTTTCGCTGATTGAAGTGAACAAAACAGTGCCTTAGCTCAAACGCGGCAACAGGCATGTGTTTTTAACAGTGGAACCAAGCAAACTTAACCAGAATGTGAAATGAAAGCCAGTAATTTAGGCGTATCGGAATGTAACGATAATGGTGGATTTTGCAATGGCGCTCAGTGGAATCCTGGAGAAACTAAATGCCGATTCGTTTCAAAATTTTGAACTTCGAGTTGGTACGGTTGCAAAGTTAATTTGATACAGTTTGTACTGGAGTAGCATAACTCATTCGATTTATCAGAATGAATCGCAATCACAAAAAACCCGAAAATCATTTTCTGTACCACTTTGATATATATGCATAGTTATTTTCTGCAGATGCTTCAAAATCCCAAAACATATTCTTCTGGATCAAACAGCTGAAATTTTGTTTCTTTGATTCTGAAGAATTATTTACACTTGTTGCAGGAATGAGTTGTGGCCCACTGGTGGCCGGTGTTATTGGTGCACAAAAACCACAGTACGATATCTGGGGAAATACGGTTAACTTGGCCAGTAGAATGGATACTTACGGAGAACCGAGAAAGATCCATGTAGGTTTTAAGTTCAAGACAAGCTATATTTTGAGTAGTTAGTCTACATGCTGCAAGAGACACGACTTAATGAAAAACAGAAACACCCCGAGAACTAAAACCCAGGCTGGAACGCACCAGGCGAGCCGGTGCGATCATGCGTTTTTGCATCAGACTTTGAGGT